GTCTTGTCATGTTGTCTTTGGGGGGTAGTTTCCCTTCCTTTCTTCTTTGCCTCTGAATTGTTTTTCTTCTCCTGTTAAATAAATTTGTTGCTCAGCTTCATCTCTCCTGCATTAGATAATTTCATCCTCTCTCTTGTCCTCGGATAGGGTTGTCCCTTGGATATCCCTTTCCACCTTTTTCTTCTCAAGGCCAGCTTCTCATTCAGGCATTGTTCTCTAGCATTGCTTTTGCTGTCTCCTCAGGATCATATCTTTGAACTCCTGACTGAATTTCAAGTTACCTCCACTTGCCTCTTCAGTGCTTGTATCATTTCCTCCATGACTGTGGTCAAATTCTGTCTCACACCTGTGTACGAAACACCGTTTTGTGCCACACTGCACTGATGTGCAACAGGAAATTCTGCAACCATCCATCATCTTGGGAACCCTTTCCTCTTTGGTTCCTTTCAAATTATTCTTCAGAAGAGCCTAACAGAGCTAGGTACCAAAATTTCACCGATCCTTGCCAGGTGCATTGGTTTACAAGACATGTTAGAGAAACGGGAGACTATCACAAGTTGTTAAGCAATAAAAATCCCTGCAACATAATCTGTTGTGGTTGGGCATTTTATTGAAATCCTGGATAGTCATTTGCAAAAAAGCTGACATGCAGGGTTTGGATTTAATCTTCACATTTCCACTCAAACTGTGGTATTGTTTGAACACAACAGCTTTGGGATCCTGGCAAAAGAGTAAAACTGTCCGAGCTGTTCCACTCTGGTTTGAATTATCTTCTTTTTATTTATTTATTTCTAGCTTTGAAGTCTGTGTACTTTAAAAATCAATGAACATCATATTAACAAGCAGACACTAATTACATTTTAACAAACTGGAAAGGCTTGGCTACAAATCTTTGAAAAGATAGGTCCACATTTTAAAAAGCTTTCTAATCCAACTGGCATCATTGTAGTAAGACACTCACAAAGCCTGCACAGAATGGAAACGTTAAAGGAATCTGTTTTCCAGAATTATTTTTTTTCTATGATTTATAATTAGTCTTCATCATTGTACTGTCTCATACACTAGGTCTGGTAAACAGAGTACTCATGACTTTTACAGGATTAATGGAGACATTCTGAGATGTAGAAATTCAAAGACCACTCAGATAATACCAGCACTTCACTCTTTTGTAGCTCTTCTCATCAGTTCAACTTATTGTTTTACAAACAAACCAGGATCACTATCAGAGTGCTACAGAGGGATAAAAACCAGGCAAGAAACACTAATGTACCTCATCTGTAATTACTTAGCAGAACAGAGGCAGACCAGAACTGGGTCTCTTGTATCTAGTTCAGAGCTCTAACTCAAAGGTTACGGTGGTTCACTGAGCAGTTTTTAAAATATGGGTATTAGAGTGTGCAGTGGGAGTCAGAGAGTTTGTATCAGGATGCTCTGCACACCAGGAAATGCTAAAAGTATAAATAGATGGTTCTGGAACTATAAAAAAATATCATGCCTCTTCTGACCACTCTGTCTGAGAGTAGCTGTGTCCTTGGTGTGAGGGCTGTTAGAAAAGCAGCTCCCACATGAAAGTAGGATCCCCAGCAATGCACAAAACAGTTTCTGAACAGAGCAGAGAGCCAAGACATCACGAGGTTTGTGTGGTAACAACAAGGGGAGAGTAGGACACAAGGAGGATACTCGTGTCAGACCAGGCTCCAGGAAACATGCAGGAAAAGCTATGCTTTTGAAACGTCCCCACTGATTTCACCACTGCTGGGCTATTCCAGAACAGCTGCTTGAGAGGTAAACACAATGAGGAACCCAGTTCAGACAAGAAGTGATCTGCAGTGCAGCAAAGCCAGCCTGTGCCAAGAAACACTCACTCACTGCTGCGCCACGGATCATGAGGGGTCATATCAGACCCCACCAGGCTCCGCTGTCCTCTTCATGCTGTGCTCTGAACTGGTGAGACAGACCTGCTGCTTGAGGTGCTGGGAGGGGAAATACAGATACCAAAGATAAGAGCAACAAACTTGGTGGCACTTCACATTTCATGGAACGAGAGATGAGTTCTGAGCTCCGGGAACTGGACGATACATAAATGCTGGCCCACTCACAGGATATCACAGTCAGCTCACGCTCACAGCAAATTCTTTGAGAGAATTTTGGTGGAAGTGAGAGGAAAGCCCCGCTGCTTCATGTCACACACATCAACATTTCTCTGTCTGTTGCTACAAGTACTTGACTTACTTGTGAGAACTGATTTTCTAGACTTCCCTGCTTTCCTATGGCCACATCTTCTGGTTGAGCTGAACTGCCAGAAACTCATCTGCTGGAGCGACCCACGGCCCATGTCCTTCTGTATCTGCAAAGAAGAGGACAGCCTGTCATGCCTGTCCTGGAGCCACATCAGTTACACCTGGCAGAGCAGCACAGGCAGTTGTCCCCACATCACAGCCGCTCCCAGGGGTGGCATCCCAACCATCGGTGATGCTGTGCACGCTTGTCATGAGAATGATCTCTGAACAATTTTCAGCATCAGCACAGCTGGTTACAGATAGTGGCTCAAGCATCACTGCAACCCTGGCTACCCCTGCAGCAGAAGCTGTGGAACTCGGGTATATTGATAACAATAAACACTTTTGGGCATTAGCAAAACATCTGGAAGCGACTCTCCAAATGACCAGAGTACCAAGTATCAGGGTCACCTGCCATGGTGCCTTATCTACCCTTGCTTCTCTTCATAAACAAACTGGAGTAATACACGACGTGCAATAGCTCTCTTTGTCTACCTTGAAGTCACTATTTTGCTGTTAAAGACCACGTTTTCCACTTTTCCACCCATCTGATTAAAAAGATTTAACAACTTCTGTAATGCTTGCACCAAAAAATTCTTTGCACACAACTGGATCTAATCCAAGTCTCTGAGCCCACCGTGTTTCTCCATCTCCTGTGCCTCTACATTACCCTTTTAATATGATTAGCACATGATATAAATGGATTTATCAGTGCTCCCTTATGTCACTTGTCAGTGACACGCTATGTATGTGGAAAGAAACCCACTCCCCTCTTCAGTAAGTGCTGAGCAACAAGCCTGATTCAGACCCCACACTCCTGTTCTGATGGTGCTTAATTATTATTTTTGTGTGGTCATATGGGTGGTGGTTTTGGGACCATCTTGACAGGTCTGAAGCTCTGCCTCCCAAATGGATAAATTTTGTCCTCATTATCTTGTGACTGATCTGCAGTGAGCACAAACAATGCTGGATGTGTGAGTAAATGAGGGAAACACCTACATACTGTTTTCCAAGGCATCTGGAGGCTCAAATGTTCAGCTGCCAATATCAGCATGACATCTGCCATTTCTCAGCTGGTGGTGTGGTTTCTCTAAAATTTGGTCCTGATCTGTGTTTTAGTTTGAAGAACAATTCAACTTTATGCACAAATAAAAGGCAGATCATATACTGGAGAATCTCTATTGGATTTCTAAGCAGGCTAAAAAGTACATAAACACCTTAAGCACAGACTGCTTTTCTTACATCACTACTTTATTCCCTGTACTTAGCAGGATGCAGAAAAATGCGATGCACCTTTAACCAAACACCCTTTGAAAAATATAATAAAATAAAAAGAAAATCTGAAACCCTACCTTAAATAAATCCACTCCATATCTTGGGTGAAGAGCAGCAGTTGTGAAACAGTCCAGAGACATCAGTGTTCAAACCCTTCTGAAATAAATGCAGGCAGCTCACCTCACGCTGGTAGCTTCTTCTCACGGTTGTACTGGTTTTAAAATAACAGCAGTGACTTCAAAGCAAGACTTAACCTGGTCTGCGCTTGCACAAATGACAGAACAAGCCCATTCTTGGTTCAACAGCTCGGGCAGTTCAGATTCGGTTCAGCGCAGAAATTTCGCACCTTCAGTAGGAAATTTTAATTTGGAAAGGGAAGATTAAAGTCTGCAGGAGCTGATGAGGATACCAGGAAAAGCAGGCAGTGAGGCACTGCCCAAAAAGCCAACTGGTGCACTTTAGGTCCTCTGCAGCTGCCAGCGTGCTTTCCCCCCGACCCAGAAGACAGAAGGCATCAGAACAGAGAGAACAATACAGAGACACAGGAGTGGTGGAGGGGGGAACCACCTTGACAAGTTTGATAAGATCAGGAAATTGAGACTTTCTAAAAGATGAAGGGGGATAAAGGTACAGGAAAGGGCAAACAATCCAGATACTCCATCAAACAGAAACCCTTAAGTCCTCCCATACCATAAAGGTCAATCAACATTTTATGTAAGGTAACAAGATGCAGCTTGACAACAAAAAGTTAGTGTAGTTATACCTACGTTTCCACTGGATTAAAATATGACAACTTGGGCTTTTTTTTTTTTATTTATTGAAGGCAGTTCTTCTACAAAACCTTCTAAAGCAATCTAAGGGAGCTATATTTCCCAAGAATGTGCATGCCTGAAAATGGAGTACATTCTAGGAAATACGTGTTCCTTATGCTAGAGGTGTTAATTGCCTAATAGGTACTCAGTCAGTTTTTCTCTTAAACTAGCTAGAATAGAGTTTCCAAATGCTGGGCAACTCTAAATCTATTAAAAGGCATGTAAACCAGGGAAAAGCAAGCACCAGATCATAACAAAGCCTCATGGGGAAAATCTAAAAGACTGAAGTTTCTGTGAGTTTTATTATTGCACCAATGGAACACAGTTTTCTCCCTAACTGTTCCCTAAGCCCAGGGGCAGTCAGTCTGTACTTTCTCTAATGTGTAAGGGATGGAAGAAATCAGAAGAGGGCACATAATAAATCAACTGACAGTCTCTGAAAAATAGCTGTCCTGTCTCTTTAATATGAGTGAGAGTAATGTTCTGAGGGCAGGAAGAATTCGGCTTTAGGCCGAAAACATTCCCCTCTAGGGGTACAAAAAGTGATCGCTCTGTAGTTTAATCAGTCTCAGGCCTCTCTTTGAGGGAAAAAGTGTGTTGCCTGCAACAGCACGTGTAATAACGTTTGCTGAAATATAAACTACGGCCCTATACCACAAGATGGCAGGTCAGAAGTCAACTGAGGATCTGGCCACAGATGTTCAGCAATAGAGATCAAAAAGCAATAGATCAAGTTCAGTGCTTTTCCTCCAGGAGCAGGTTGCAGAAATTTCTCATCCCATCTCCTTCACAGTTTTAAGTGCACTCGCCCTGCATGTAACAAAGCTGTACAGCACAAACTGCCAGGTTACTCAAAGTTCACGTCTCCTAATTTCTCCTTGTCCTGTGCTTGAGTATTTAATTATTTATACAGTGGGTTTGCTCTTATCCACAAATACAGCTCCCCTGAACCTCTGCAACATTTTTCAAGTCTACTAAAGTGAAGAATCATATGACACACCATTTAGTCCTCCCCCAGCCCTTGATATACGTTTCCTAAAGCCGACACTTGATATTATGGAATGTGTTGTAATCAATTCTTAAAGTTATAGCACCACTGGATTTTTATTAACTTGCACAACAACAACAACAAAAATCCAACAAAAAATGGGCCCTCATAATCAGTCAGCCATGTTATATCCTGAAAGCTGCTTTAACAAGCAGGGAGTAATATAGTGTAATTGGTACTCCACAATTTAATTGTTCTGTTCTTAAATCTAATATTGCAGCTGTGGGTTAAGTTTACACCACAGCTTTCAAGAGAACATGAAAGTGTGGTACATCTGTGCAACAGAAAGCTAAACATCTCTCATCTGATGTGTTTACAATGACATTTGATAGCGTGGAATTGTTTGGAGTTCATTCTTAAAGCTGCAGAACTGCTTTTCAACGCTGAAAAAAAAAAAAAAAAAAGGGAAAAAGCCTCCAACCTCCTTCCAGCAACTCAGCCCACACAAACCTGAGGATAATGCTGCTGTGGCATTACAGGCTGGCTGCAACAACTCCTTCAGGTGGCTTTGAGCATTGTCACTCAGGCAGGGGACAAGAGGACAAGCATATCTTCCCCCTCTGATGACAGAACAATTATTTGAAGAACAAACGAGTCAAAAAACTGAAATAAAAACAACCCCTGACATGCATGAAACAGACAAGAATATTTCAAGAAATGTTATTACATGGATGACTTCAGAACACATAGAAATGGTGGAGTTTTCTCTTTAACAGGTGGCAGAACTGCTCATGGTATTGAACTTCACATTCTGCATAACTAACAGCTTCAGCATTATGCACTTGTTAGTGAATTTATTAGGCCCATAAGTAGTTCAAGAAACTTAGGAATGGGCCCATAAATGTCATCTGCAGTTTGTGAACTGCAAGTATCTGACTGTTTTGATCAAGGTTTTTACGGGAAAGTTAAACGGTTATTAAAATTATTTACTACTCTCCATGAAAAGGGAGCAAGCCCTGACAAAGAACTTACACTGGGAGAAGATGGGATAGGTTGTAGGTCAAATGTGTTGGCACAAAAGCATTTCTGTTCATGTCTAAGCCCAAATTTCTGTACAATTCAAAGCTTAGAGTGCATTTCAGTGGCTGAGAAAAGGTCTGTGGATGGGCAGAGGCATTTTCCCTTTCCCATAATCTGCCATCAGAAACAGACGATCTGACCAGGCTACTTTTCTTGTTCTCAGCACTAACCTTTTTCTAACATTTTCTGTCCACTGGAGAAATGCATGATAGTGCAACTTAGTAAAAGAGATCACTTTCTGCTCATTCCTCTGTAGCAGTCCACGCCGAGGTCTTGATTTATGCCCTTTAACAGATAAAAGTCAGTCTCACTGATGGAGCTCAGCTATATTACACTGGAACCTATTCATTTTTTTTGTTAAACTTTATTATTTCAGTCAAAATTAAGACTATCTGGAGCCTCTTCATAAAAAGGGGCCATACCAAAAGCTGTACTTTAGCAACTCGAAAAATGGATGCATTCATCCTGCATCAAAAACACCGTAGGAAGGACAGATCTCCTGGGGAGACAAATCTGTATCAATATTTCAGTCTCTTGAATACAGAAATCTGATACAACAAGATGCAACACCCGAGCTTCCCCTCCTTTCAATTAACTGAGAAATAAAAATTGTCCTTAGAAGGGAAGAAATGCATTCGTGTTTTTCAGTTTTCGGGTTTTCCGCCCTTTCATAGCATCATAATGTTCTCTTCAGAGGTGGAAAACTTAATCTTCAAGTTCAAGCCTAGTTTCTTCATACAGTTCAGGATGAGATGACTTGGAATACCGGGAATATTTCAGTTGTAGAAAATCACCCAATTCATCCAGAGCATTCAAAACCTGTAAGACCATTTTACTTTGTCAATTCTCTTGGAAAAGAAATGAAGTTCTAGTAACCTCTACTTTACAGCAGAACAAGGTTATAAAAAAACAGCAATTAAAGAAAGTTTAAAGGACAAATGGGCGATTTTTGCATTCATTCTACCGCAGTGAACATCAATGCAGTCACAGATGTACAACAGCATCTGTGAGAACAGAATTTACTCCTTCAGGAGGTTACGGTTTGTTAGGAAGCACATTAATTGACCTCAAATGAAAAAAATCACTTTTTCTAAAAACACAGAGAGATAACAAGCCAGATAAAAAGTTACCTTTGCTTTTGCAAAAGAAATGTGTAAGGTTATACTTCAGTATTTGCCTATAGCTCCCAAGGACTGGAGTTGCCACTGCATTTTCTCAGCTAGGACTCAGCCCACAGTGCTGATCAGGGTCAACATAAACAGCCTGAACAGTTTAAGATGATTTTAGTGCACTCCATTATCTTAGACTAATATCACAGGCAGAATTAATATTAATTGTTATTAATTAATACTGTACTGCAATTTGCTGAGCTGTGTCCCCAGCTCACAGTAGATTCAAAAAGCAGACAGGGAACTTTGTACCACAGAGAGGCAGCTCAGTGTTTCGCAGCATCTGACCCACATTCAAGAGCAGCCAACTTTTTGGCATCAAGGAAGAAAACAGCAATTTTGATTTTGAGCCTGTTTCTGTTAAGCCACTAAAATGAGCTAGTGAAGAAAAAAAGAAGTCATTTAGTAATGGTTTATGCAGCGAGATAGCTTCCAGGTCATTAAGGAAGTTATTTTTGGGAGCTTGCCCTTTCATGGATCTTTCCTCTTTAGTTCCAGGCTGAGATTCAAAACAAATTTTGCCAAAGGGAAATGTTTTCATTGTGCTTGTTACCTGTTGTTACCCTGTGTTTAGGCATGTTCACAAAGCATTTGTCTTAAAAGCTTTCCATCTGCAAGTAATTCAGCTCAGGGCATTTCCATGTACTGTAAGGACATTTAGAGAATGCCACGAGTACTGCAGCAAAAACACAGTAATAACTGGGGAGCATTTCAGACCTCCAGTGGTACCAGGAAGCAGCAGCGTCCAAGCAATGAACATGAAACGATGTCCCAAAAATGTACTGGGCTTGACATTTGGGGGTGGGGGGAGAGGAAGAAAATCAAAGCAGTGACCTCAAGAGATTAATCCTCAGATCGAGTTCATCACCTATTATGAGTTACAGAAGCCAAAATCCACACAGCACAACAGCCAAAGCTGACAGTGGCCAACACAATAGCTATGCCCTGCTCTATGAAATATTGTCTTTATGGTACTGTGCCTTGCTAATAACTAGTGCACCTTTAAAAGCAGAAGGAATTTTATACTGCACACGTGCAGGGCAGATTTTTTTATGTTGTCTGAGAGCAATCTACACTGGTGTGGGAGCTGGTCAGCAGGGTAGGGCTCCAGCCTCAAGATCCATGTGAATCTCAGGATGCCAACGTAGAGCCAAGAGCTCTCTGCAGGCACAGGTGCTTGTCTGAATGAAGGAGTGGCATTTTTAACTCAAATGCCTTCCACGTTCACAGATTTTTGTACTTTGACCATCACACTTGTGCAAAGAGAGGAAAAAGAAAGCCTGACATTTACTGTTAAGCCTCTTGTCTTGGCTTATTCTGGGAATGAAAGAACGTATCTCAAGCCAGGCCAGAAACACCTTCGGCAAGAAAGGGAGATGGAAAATCTCGAAGAGTTTATTTTAAACACATTTCTGACTGTGTTGGAACAGAGGGTTACGATGGAAGTCTCAACATACTCCTAACGGGATTGCTGATATCAGAGAAAGATACAGAACTGAGACAGGCCAGACAGCACCAATTAAACTTAATTAGGTTCAAACAGTTCCAAATACTGTTTGCAATTTCCACCTGTACCCCCAAGGCTGTCCCATACACTTTCTGCAATTCGAGAAACATGTGGAGATAACGGCTATGGAAAACTTGATTTTCAATTATTTCCATATCGTTTCAGGTTTCCTACTCTGATAGTTCTGCCCTAGCATTTAACTTTTGTCTTGCTGTGCTCCTCATGTAGGTCTTTATTAGTGATGACAGATTTGGTCACTCATAGAAATAGAACATAACAAGTTAACTGTCCCATAATTTATTTTAAAAAAGTAAAATATATAAGGCTCAAACGCCTTTAAAGATCAAGTGACAAGGCCAGAAAAACAAATGTAAAAAAATGAATTATTGAGATTCAAAGTAACAGAAAGGCACAGCTTCTCCCAACCTCCTTTGCATCTGAAGTTAATTTTGGCAGGACATCTGCTGTGCTTACCGTGTCTAACATCTCCCGTGTATGTGCAGCTGACACACAAAACCGAGCCCTGGATTCTGTGATAGGAGTAGCTGGAAACCCAACCACGACCACCCCGATATTTTTTTCTAACATGCGTCTTGCAAAAGCCCTAAGGAGAGAAAAAGAAAACAAAAAAACCCACAAGAGTAAATTATCTCCAGTAATGGACACAGAGAGAAAACATCCATGTGTAATAATAATATTATATATAATATAGGTATAATAGGTAAAAACTTGTCTTCACTTGAAGTGGATGGTAATATTCCCATTGATTTCCCTAAGAGCCAGAATTTTACCAGTAGGACTGAGAATCTTTGCTGCTTAGCAGCTCATGAAGCCAAATGGGTGTCAAATACTGGAAGTGTGATGGCAGAGAGGGCACTTCAGGATAGACACACTATTCATTTACGTCAGTGAAAGGCTTTGAGTGCAAATAAAAACATGGGCATTCACAGCCCCTAAGCATGGAAGAGGATTGGCTTCTGGAAGGTGTATGAGGCTGGTTCCTGCACATCAACAGGCATAAAACAATCTGTGCCATGGTTTATCTGCTCTCACAATTACTCTGCCAGTTAGGAAGCTTTTTTTGTGGTGTGTATGAGACCTGGAGCACACAGTCATGCCAAGCTACTTGCAAATACTCCCCACAGCTCAACCCTTATGTTTACCACCACTGACTCCTGGTCTGGGTGTCCAAGTCAGTGCACAAGTGCTGCTTGAGAGGAACTGTGTGGTAAAACATGCAAAGATCATTCAAAGATCAGATGGGGAAAAAACATCCATCCAAACCAATTCATATATCAAAGGCAATGTGCCTCCTTTAATGAGTACAAATTAAAAAAAAAACAAACAAAAGAAATCCAAATTAAAAATGTTACCAAACATATTATTCCAGAACACGTTAAAAAGGGTAAGAGAAAAAATTTAAATTCTGAGCAGTGGAACAACTCAAAATTAAGTCTAGGGCCAAATTTAAAAGAGAACAGAACTAAATGATGAATTCAACAGTGCCTGTTTTCCCAGGAAGCATCTACTACACAGAGCTACATTTTCCACAGTGTACACCAAATAACCTATGAGCCTGAATAGTGTTGCTTTTGCCAACAGGTTTTTTTCAGCACTTACCCTATTTTACCAGGCATATAAAGGAGCAAGGGGACAACAGGAGAATCATCATTGCCATAAATGATGAAGCCCATTTCATGCAGTTTTCGTCTGAAGTACCTTGTGTTTTTCTCCAGCTGGCGCACTCTTTGGAGCCCTGAAACGAGCAGGAGAACAGTCAGTGCAAAGATCACAACTGGAATCTGGTAACAGGCAAAAAACAGGGCTGTGGGCAACAGTGTGGCTGAAATGCTCGTGTTGCTATTTGACTGGGAATTAAAACATGGAAGGAGCTAAATGCAACTGCATTGATTATTTTGGCACTGTAGGATGGACGAGTGATACTCCTGTACTTGTGAGGTGCCTTCCCATGGGCAGAAACAGTCCCTATGCAGAAAGAGTCACATGTCTCTGTGGACACAGGACATGTAAATAGAATATGTTCTTTCTCAATGGACTATAAGGTGAACAGCCAATGCCTACAGAAGCCAGTATCTTTTCTCATTAACAACATTCCACAGGGATCCTCTTATATCTTAGCTAATTCTGTGCATACATGCTTGTTTGTTTATTTATTCAGTGACTGTAATAAAGCTTAAAGCAGAAAATACTGCATTTTGGGTCAGCTCAAGCTGATGCTTTTGTTGCAATTTTTTCTGGATAGAGGGAAGGTACATGATTACTTTCTTATTATACAAGATCTGATCTTCTGCATATTACCAACATGCAGCATAAGTCCAGTTACTCTAACATGCATTTACATATGCAATCCCTCACTGAGTTCTGCTCAGTTTCTCTGTCCTCTTCTCTTGCTAGTATTATCTTGATATCATCATCTGGCAACAGACTTTAGTCATTCAATACTTTAAGACACAGGATTTGTTCTCTGCATTGTCCCTGGCCTTATTCACTCATCGATCCACGATTGTAATCCCCAGCAAAACTGACAGGAGAGTTGAAACCAATTATTTTTAATGAAGGAAAGACCAAAAACAGCAGAGAAAAAAAATGTGCTCAAAAAGACATCTCAGCCTTTTCTTTTACAGTGCCACTAAGGAGGTGGTTTCTGACAAGTGCAAATGCTTCCCAACCCATTGCATAAAAAGGGAAGAGCCACACAGTATGTCAGTTCACCACTCTACCTGCATTACGTTTCATCAGTGAGCTGATGCATGTGCTGTTTTTCCAGTGCTGTGAGGTGCTGACAGGGATGGTGCCACCTCCCCCATACCCACACGGCTCCCCAGTGCCAGTCCTGGGCTCACAAAGACACGCGGCCAATAGAGCCGGGTCTGTCCCTTCACCAGAAACAAAACTGCCCAACTGTTAAACAGACCAGGTCTCTAAACCTGATTGTTGTGCAGCAGTTTATGTCTGCCCAGTGGGAGTGTGTGGTCAGACTGGGATTTAGCAGGACACAGATACACTCTCAGCTTTCATTTTCCTGCCGTTCATCAGCCCATACTTTCAATATCACTTATGTTGTGTCACTCGACACGAGCACTGAAATCTCCAGTGCAACTCAATTCCTCTCTTCCCTTTGCTCTTAAGATGCCTTTGCACAGATGAATTACAACTTTCACTCTCCATTTGCTTTTTCATTTTACTTTACTTTTCGTCTACTTCATTTACTACCTTCTGCTGTCACCCTTCTCTGCATGGATGCCTGTTTCCTAATTTCCCATCTTGCTCTGTGTAACCACAGTGGCCAGTTCGGCATTTGTAGCTGCTACATGGCACCTTTGGCAGATTTGTCCTCAGACCACATTCTGCCCCTGCCTGGCTTTTCTTCCTTTCCCTTCTTGGCTGAGGTGGGGGATCACCACAGCTACATCAACCTCTCCTCCATCAATCATTTCTGAACTTGTGCAGGTTTGAAGAAGATCTACTGCTTCATCTGCTCTGCATCCTCCCGAGTCAAGGTCCTGTCAATGTTCTGGCTGGGAAATTTATAGGGAAACTGGGACTTGCTTCCCAGTGATCGGTGTTTTGCTTGAACAAATTAGAAGATCTCATAAAACCAGTGCATTTGTAACTTTGTGCACAAAACTGCCCACGCAGACAACCTGTTAGCTACAGTCTCAGTCATTCAGTTGAAAGAATTCAGTGGAAGAGATCTGCTGGGTTAGAAAAGGCCACAAACAGTTTAACCATCTCTCTAATGCTGCTAAAACAAAAACAGCTGTGTCAGAGCAAGGAAAACAAATGAAACACAAAAGCATCCTACTACAAAGCTTTCCAGTCACTAATAAAAACAATAGTCTGTGGTATTTCCAAAAATATTTTTGGTGTAGTAGATCTCAAAGAAACAGGAGGAAATATTGAGGAGGAGGAGGAGGGGAAGGGAGATGATGACAAGGAAAGGGAGTTAGAGAACTGCAGAGTAATGTGGCTGAAGTCTAAAGGGAGAGACTTTTCCCCTTGTTAGAATTTGCAAAGATTTTATTAGCACCTCCTCAACGTCCAAATTACAACTAGGAGGGCAGGGGATTGACCTGAACTGGGGGCTCAAACCCACTGCTGTTTCTCGCTATCTTTGCAGCCCCTGAGCCAGTTTCCAACCTCTCAGTTGGAGAGCATTTGAAACTACTAGATTTGCAATTAGGAAAGTTTTCACAAATGCAGATGTTCTTGGCGAGTGCACTTCAGGACTTGCTGCCTTCTCCTTTCTACTCAGCTGTTTACCACAAAGCTGGAAACTCAGTGTCAGCCACGCAAGGTTCCGGGCTGTTCCCTATTTATCAAACCACATGCGCTGGGCCCAGAACTGATCACTTCATCCCTACTTATTTCCAGTACCGGAAATTTAGAGTCCAAAGAAGGGGAATACAGCAAAGGAAACATCAGAGCTGAAAGAGGAGGCTCAGGCAACCCCCCAGAAGTCAAACAGCTCTTCCTTTTCCAATCTTCCCCCCACTGATTCTATATCCTCAACCAGTTTGTGACGGGAGGGATCCCCTTAGAGACTCCCTATGGAGCTCGTTTCAAGCCAGCCAGTGCTGATGCAAAAGAGCCACTTGAATGTTTTAGCAACATCCCAGAATGCTAATGTCATTTGCAGGGATGCACTGAAGAGCCAAATAAAAGATCAGAGCACTCACATATATCTGGAGGGGGAAAAAAGCACATTAGGAGACGATTGCTACACACATTGTATTTGTGGGTGGGTGGCTGGGAGGAACCTATTTCTTTACCAAGTGTCAACACTTTCCTTTCTCATGTTAAGTTTTGTGGTCAAAGACCACAGACACACATCATATACACAGCCGTCTTATATGCTGTCCCGATAAGAGCAATAAAACCCTTAAAGTTCGTAGCTGTATTTTAGATATTTTTCATTCCTTTATGGGACCTTCCAATGTCAGATAAGTAGGCAGATGTGAGCAAAATGTTTATTTTTTTTTTCACACTGGCCCAATTTTCCCCCTACACTGCAGATGACGAGTGGTGAATTCAGTTTAGAATCAGATCTTAGTCCAGATTCACTGTGGTCTGTTTAACCAAAGACACTGCTTTTAAAAAGTATTTTCTTTGATTCCTAAGGCTGTGATCTTGCATATTTTATTATTTATTGAGTGAAAATCTGCAGAGCAGACCCTTGAGCTAAAAGGCTATGGCTACAACTATGTGAGTGTAAGAATTTACCTGTATGGCACTAATTAGAGGATCAGGTCCCTAAACAGTAAATATAGGTGTTAAAAATTTCTTAGTTTGTAAAATACTCGAGGATTTACAGTCTGTGCAAAGAGCTTATAGCACAGCATGCAGAATACCCAGAGAGTTATATTCCATAAAATATATGAACCTCAACACAGCATATGTTTGGAGAAAACAGACTGGACAGGGAAAAACAACCCCTTCAGCAGTTAAAACTAAGCCCACTAGTGCTCCAGAGTTTTAAGCTAAGGTAGAGAATGACCTTATTAAAGGCTCTACATATTCTTAGCTGAATTAAGAAGGGACAGAAAGAGAGAAAAATGAATGATAAGCGATTCTCAAGTTTCCCAAGTTACCTTTACACTGCTTGGAACATACACAGCCAGCTTACTGGGCTCGTTTTGAAGCACAGGATTAATTGCCTGGATGGTATGAGAAAACCAGAATTTACTGCATCAGCAATCCACCTACTGCTGGCAAATTTCGAGTTTACGTTTGTTGCACCACTTTAAAAAATATTTGGTTGACTGTGAAGTCCTAAGGTGTTGGCAATTCTGGGAAAAACGCTGATTATATTTTTATTTGACACGCATCATTGCATACCACCGGCTTTCCCTCATTAATTTCTGCAGGCTTTTAGAAAGCTTTATAGCTCAAAATTAATACGGTTTGGTTGAAGTAAAAATACAAAGAGAGGGCCAGAGAGACAGAAATAATAAAAGATAGTGGCTTGCTCATAATTTCTTTGAAGCAACAAGCTTTTTAAGGGAGCCACTTGGAGTAACAGACTCATTAGAAGTTCTGTCACACACTCAGGGAGGAGCTGCCCTGGCATCTGACAGCAGGAAGGTATCCTGACTACTCATCCTGGGATGGCTTTATCTGGCACAGCTCCAGCGCCTCAACAGATCTCTGCTGGTTTATGCCAGCTGAGGGCCTTATCCTGGCAGTGAAAGAGGCAGTAAAACTATCAGCTCTCTGAAACAACAACAAAAAAAAATTTGTTTTCCTTCTCCAGAGATGTCTGCTTTTCCCTCCTGCAAGATGTTAATAAAGCAGAGAAACTGGCTGTGTCGAATTCCTGCGTGAACATTCTACCTTTGAACTCGTCCTCTAGGCTTCTACCCTTGGAAATTCTGACTCAGTGTATTGAAAACAGCAATAAGCAACCTGTAGCCTTTCATATCAAGATCTCAGGTGTATTTTAATTGAAGGAGAGTTATTTTTCCTGAACCCATTCCAGGAAAGATAATCCCACGCCGTAGTGGGTTTTGGCACGTGGTGGACTCTTCAAGACCCAAATCCACCTGCTTTAATCTTCTCCAGCTGTTGTTTCATAGGATCGTTCTAGATAATTAGTTACACAATCAAATTTTTACATACTGGTGTCAGTGTTCCTTGGATGGAGAACTCTACTCCCTGCCCTCCTCTACTAACAACTAGATAGTAAAAAGCAAACTTTCATAAGCTGAAAAAAAAATTTGGAAAACAATAGTTCTT